AGGCCTTGTAAATTTTTGACTTCCTTAAACGATTTCGAGTTGTGGTGAGTTGTCGAGACAAAAATTTTCATGAGTCATTTGAAGGTAGTCTTTACAGCAAACCTGTCGCATGAAGTATCGTTAAGCGTACGTCACCAGAGCATTTGCAAATGACAACTCTAGGAGTAGAATATGCAACATGCTTCCCATGAAAGTATGGGACGTTCTTAAAGAATGACTTCGCGTGGTGCAGGCCGGCTGAAATAGCTTACAGAATGCTACTCAATATATTAGCAACCTGTAACTAGGCTTCGGCTGGCTCGATCCGTCCCTAAACAGTGGACGCATAAGAGCAGTTTTTGTAGACTGGCAATGTTTCGCTGCTTGACGTTCATTAGCTAGGGAAAAACGAAATTGTGGCACGCTTGTATGATTTCCGATGCAACAGTATGGTAAACGCACTGAGTTATTCGGCATAGAGCGCGGACGATTACATGGTAACTAACGTGCCCGCCTCTACTGAAATTTAACCGCAACGCGAAGTTGAGTGCTCATCGTTGGTGGAGCAATCTAGTCGCCTTGATTACCAATATTTTATGTGTAAGGTCGCTTTGAGACGCTCAGGTAATAAGCGCCGTAGATAGTCTAACGATGGGGAGGTAACACTGGCTACATTAGATTAGCTTGGTTAAACAGCGTCCATAAGTGTCTCAATGTGGATGGGCCTTCCAATACCCTCGTCATGGAAGCGTCTACAGGAGTGAATGTTGTGGTTGCTATATGCACCCATTAAAAAGCATCCTTCAACCTCAAAGTTGGTCCTTTTGCATATATTGTAATGGGAAAACTGGTGCGACAACGTTATGCTTTGCGAACACGTGTGTTTCCATGTATGAAGTACCTACCTTGCTCATCTTCAGGAAAGCGTAAATCATTTGTTTTTATGAATAACACATCAACATTCAGTTTTATGGTGATCAGTTAGAGGAATTTAACCAGGAAATGTGCTGCAAGTTCGTATGGATAAGTCTACACCTTTCGTCCGCTTTACGTTCTTGTTGCTGAAATTGTTGCCCAATGCTTTCTTGGTGGAAATACAGGTTAATTGACCACAGCGTTTAAAAAATTATGCATGAAGCATTGACTTGTCTCCTTATGCACAACGAATAATTTGCATACAAGCTAATCCAATGCGTTGCTAGCGACGCTGTGTGTTCTGTGCAGAGTCCGACTCCAAAGTTGCGCTCGATCGCAATAGATATTGTGGCAGTAGTTGACTTACAGTCTAGATCCACATAGACGAAGTGTGGAACGAGGACCATTTTGACTACTAAAAGTAGATGCATGGATTTGGTGAGAGTTATGGCGTTCCTCGCAAGTAGCTGATAAGAGAGACAGACAAATCACCAATCCGGAAATGCATCACATGGATTGTTCGTCCTTCCGGGACTCGTTAGTTATGTGCATTTCGTCGGCTCTTTTCAAGGGAACCGAACCCATGAACGCAAGTGACTCGAGCCCCTAGCCAGCGGCTTACGGCAATGAGTCATGGGAAACGACAGTGAAGCATCAAGGACTGAAATCAAACTTCAAGATTACGTACACATGATCATAATGCAAATGATTAGATCGAAATCAGACAAACTGAGGGTAGTACATTGGTGTTGCACAGCCCAACACTGGCATTCCACGAACGCGGTTTTCCCCTGTTTTGGACTTATCAGGTGGTCAGAGCTCTGATTTCCATCCCAGCTCAGACTATCTCCACCCGATGAGTCCAGACTAGGACGAAACCGGGGTCGTGGGGTGCCAGTGTTGGGCTGAACAATACCAAATATTACAATTTCACATACGGTCCTTGTAATCGGAAAGAACGACGTCCACCTCAAGTGAACCGAGGTCTCAATAGAGGGTGCTTGTAGCAACCCAACCACACAGTGGATTCTCCAACTCCAACTTTCAAACTGAGCGTACCTTATTCATCGCTCTCACGAAAAACAGGCCTTGTTAGAAGGCAGCACAGTGCAGATCAGATATTAACCCATTGAAGTCAAGTACAGTAAACTTGAAACTTTTATCCTCCAGGCGTATTACTTTATGGTATTTTAGTTGGCTTTGTACATTCCAAGCGCCTAACGGATTTTCTTATCGTAAATTGCTTTCACTGGCTTCTTCACGGTGAATCGTTGTTTCCACGGATGCGCCCTCCACTCATTGTAGCAATTGCAATACACATCAAGTCTAGCTGCCTCGCTCCAATTAGTCTTTTCGTAGCTACTCTTCTACCAGGTAAAATCTCTGCCGACTTGTATCCGAGCGACGCGCTACACCACTCGATTCTCAGTGTCAGCTTGCCTGACCATGAATGAGCGCCGCCCTGTAGTATTTAGCGGGAACAGTGCCTTCTCATCCGCTTCGTTATGTAAGCTGCAGTTAGACCGATGTAAATTGTACAACAAACGTATGTACAGGACTTGGGTAATTTCCAAAGGAGCCTCGTCACGGCGACCCCATAGTTCTAATTGCAGCTTAGGAAGATGACGGTTGCATTTCTAGCCACTCACGTGGCAAATAGTGTGCGCACTGGGAAACTGACTATCCAGCGCATTTCTAAGTGGTTCGCGGTTGTCTGATGTGGTTAGCAAGGACGAACATCCTGTAACGCTGACTCAAGCCTCCACCATTCTGCCCTACAATACCTCAAAAACAATACTGGTCGGACTTGCTCGAAATAGGTAAAAAAATGCTTCAGAATTACTCCCACGCAACCGAGGATTGCTGTTTGAGGAATGGGATACTATGGGATACCCTAACCAATACGGGGTCGATGTTTCGAAACTGGGAAGTAGAGGTTGAAAGTTAGCTACTTGAAACGCTGGACCAGGAATTTCCGTTTTCATAAGCTGTGGGAGTTGAGGTACTGGTCAGACAAGAGATGTGAGTCACCTCAGTGATAGCGGCGAGGTAAGCGCATGTGACCTATAAAAGTACCCATGTTCTGTGCCTAATACACTTCGGTCTAGCAGGCTCAGCGTTTTGTTTCCCCCGGCTGGTTGGTAGCGCAGAGAGAGAGAGAGGCAAAGGGCAGCGTTACAACGGTGGCGACGCGAGTTCAATCGAACCCAAAATGGCAGTCAGCTTTGAACAATTGCAGGCACTTTTGCAGGAGCAGCAGACGCAGTTCGAAAAGTCACAGAGGCAGTTGATGGCAGTGCTATCACAAAAATTAAACATTCAAGTAGTATGGGAACTGGAAGTGAAGTTGACATCGCAAGAAATTGTTTCAGAATGTCAGAAGTTGCTCAAATTGACTCCTGCTGCAAATGTGGTCGCAAATTCAGAATCTATGGAGGAGCAAAACTTCTGCCACACTGCCACTTCAGAATCAGATGTGCCCATCAGACTTAAGGGTGCGACGACAGAAATCAATGGCAGTCAGATTACACAGGTGCACAGACGCCACGAAGCAATGCTCCAACCTGGTCCAGAATGCTGCAGAATCACCAGTGCTGCCCTGAACCTCAAGCCAGCCACTAAACCAGTATCCAGAGCAAAACGCGTTGTGCTAATCAGGAAGAAAAAGCATTGCAGTTGTCATACGGGGAAAAGTCGGACAGACAGGGTGTGTCATTGCAGAATTGGTGACAGGGGGTACGCGCGAGAGTTCCGAGGACCGAAGAGGTGGTCAAGAGGAAAGGTGATACGCAGAAATGGTGGAGTCAATTACGATGTAACTGTTGGAAACAAGAAATGGATCAGGCACGCAGATCAGCGGAGACCGGAGCACGGAAAAACACAAGAGCCCGCAGATAACACATATCGAAGACCGGCCAGAAGGAGAAGAAAACCACCAAGACAACTGATTGATGTCAAACCAAAGAAAGCTGAATTGACGCAAGTACGCATGGTGGGGAAGCAGCTTCAATTCGGAGGAGGAGGGGTTACGGAGGCCAAACAGCTGACTACGATGGTGCACACTAGCGGGGCGAGATCGGCCAGATCACGTGACAGGCTGACAGGCTCGTTGTCATGGTCAAACCGGAAGCTGATGAAATCAGACCGTCGTCGCCGCACGGGTTGCTATGTTGCGGACGTGATCCTACCTACAGTTAGACAGTGAAGGCCGCTACCAGTGTCGAATCTGTTCAGACAAGAGATGTGAGTCACCTCAGTGACAGCGGCGAGGTAAGCGCATGTGACCTATAAAAGTACCTATGTTCTGTGTCTAATATACTTCGGTCTAGCAGTCTCAGCGTTTTGTTTCCCCCGGCTGGTTGGTAGCGCAGAGAGAGAGAGAGGCAAAGGGCAGCGTTACAACAGGTACTTGGGGTTTTACTCAATCGTGGCCACCAGAATTGTCAATCCCAACAATACAGAGTGGCTTCTGATCGAGTGTTCATTCGTGTCTACTCCCTAAAAGATGGTGTTAAGAAAGCAAGTTTATTACTCATCTTTAGTATTGGTACGGTTCAGAATTTTCTCGAACACAGTGATACCATGATGCAGGTTTTCAAATTAGAAATCCTATTTGAAAAACCGCCCATCGATTTACGCATTTCACTACTGGTCGATCAAGTTGCAGAAAAAGAAACTACTCTTACTGTCTCAGAGGGCTGTTGCAAGAAAATTGTATAACAGTCCTGTTCTTGTCTTTTTGTTGTATATTTGCTGCTTGGCAGTAGCGTCTGAGTGTCCTATAAATCAGACATACCAGGCCAACAAGCGTTCGCACAATTCTTCTTTGTTTGCCAATCGCAGCTTGTACTTCCGAGTACGTCTTCTGGAAACGCCGTGATTGTGAACGCTCTTGAGAGCAACTCACCAACTAGTCTCTATAGATACAAATGATTTGGAGGCTGCTGCGAATATCTACCCAAAGGTAACATGTGAATGCAAGATAGACTATTTGAACTGTGAGCAAACGTCACCACGTGACTTCAGATGGACATCTGACAAATCAACAATAAATTGTGAATGCAATCTTATGTTTCTGAATGCAACATTACTAAAACTATACCAACCTGTTCACCCCATTCGTTCACTTCCGGCATATTGATATCGTCGATGAAAATGGTCATCTTACGCCCACCGGGAGGCCCGAATGTGTTACCAACACGTTTATCCATAAAACTTTCGATAGTGAACTGAATAAGACCAGGAGTTGTCACACTAGAGAAGTTCATAGTTTTGGTCGCATGGCGTTCTGGATCGTAACGGCTTAGGAAATTGTTCATGATTACGGTTTTCGCCGTACCCTAGAGGGTGGGGAGAAGGATGGCATGGAAATAGAGCTTGTGACTAGGTAACTAGATGTCGCTCGCTCTACGACACCTTCGTCTGTATTAGAGGTGCTTCGTTTTCTAGGGGAGGGTGGATGACAGCAATTAGTTTGATACTAGCACACCACTACTGCGTGTTATTTAAATTTGTGAATAATACTCATGAACTGCGTTGCCAGTTTAATTGCATACATTACTTTTAAACGTTTGAAAAGTTAGCTTCATTGCATGTTGATGAGGTATTCTCGATCAGGGCTTGGGTTTTATGGGTAAATGAACAAGCTAGATAAGCATTCATTCAGTTGAAGAACATGTTCAGGTTAACTTGCGCGCTTTAGGGTACAGTATGGTACTACCTAATCTCTTCTCTAACCTGTCCACTTTAAGGATCGAACTGAACAGCTCAGCAAACTAAGTGGCACACAGCTAATGGCTTGTTGGCGGGTATCTGAGACCACAACGATATGAAGCGACACAGAACCGATGTGACGAAGTATGAGGCTTCAGTCTATTGTACATTGTCGGTGGAGTTCACTGCGCAAATAACGGAGAACCTGTCAACCGGGTGCAAGACCTACTTTTTGCGAGTAAAATCAATCATGTTGGAACGGACAAGCCATTATAATAACTACAGTCATGTTTAGCAAATCTAAGTGTTGGACATATTGGCAACTGTAATGTCCCTTCACGAATTCCATAGTATGTCTAGATTATGAATCGGGTCGCTGCGAAATTAACATGAAACGCAATTGTAGTAATCCTCCTCTCTGAATAACTTATGCAAGTTTACAAAACATCTCATTGCAAAATATCCTACAGATCAGTCATCGGCCAATGACAATGGTCGAAATTTTGACCAATATAAACAAAATTTCGCAGTAGTCTATACATGTATTGACAGTTTAAGGCACCCTGTGAATGAGCTCACCTGCTCGCCAATTAGCATAACCGACTTCGCCTGTTTGGAGATCACACAGATGAGATATTCAATGCGTACGTTATCCACGTTCGGTACTAGGAGGTTGGTAGTGTCAAGTACGTCTTTGTGTGGATACACAAAATTTCCCACCCGCTCAGACCAGTGAATCCAGTCACCAGCTTCGGAGACAAGAAAATCGAACGAAGAATCTTTGGACTCCGTTACTGGTGGCATATCTAACTTGAATGTTTCTTCTTGTCTAATATACGCCTCCAATCTAGAGCGATCGTCTGCTTCAAGTAGAGCTCCGATGCTCCATAGAAGTGAGAAAACATAGAGGCGCTCCAGATGAATTCCCAGCAGCTGAAAGTAAGCAAAATTCAAGTCAACTAGCAACACGTTAACAGTCTCTAGTTTCATATTCGCCTCCATAAATAAGAGAAGTTCAGTTCGTTGTTACCTGCACATTAAGGCTTCTTTCGCGGGCAGCATGCACTTTTTGTCTATATACTACTCACAGAGAAGTAAGCACCTGCTGTACTAGGCCAAAATCGTTGCACATTAAGCTAGTTGTGGGAGCGCAAAAAGTACGTCGTTTGTAGTTCAAACTTACAGCGGATGGTTCCTTCTCCTCTTTCGTAGGTATGATGCCAGAGAGAACGTTGCATGCCTGACGGATAATGAGCGTCTGCAAAGTTTTCATTTTAAAACTCAGGTGCCTGTCGGCATACTGATACAACATTGGGAACGTGCAAGAGAAAAGTCTAAACAATTGTTCCGCTTCTCCTTTCGAGCGCGTTAGTAACCAACCCTTGAGTATTGGATCCCAGTCTAGAGCAGATGTACTGATGTAAACCATACCTATAGAGAAAAGAAGGTAACATGCCAAGATGCGTTAACAGAACGGCGGGTGTATACCAACGTAAACACTTGTGTGTCCATAGATTGACAAAGCTATTGTATCTGCTTGTGGATGGTATCAAACAAAAGCAGATCTGCAAATGTACTAACCGTTTCGTGAAACAGTTGCAGGAGTTGCGTTGTCAATATTGTCTACTTCAAAAATAATCTTGCAGTTGGGCACCATTGGTATACGATCGCCGTTCGCAAGTGTGAGTAGCTTGCTGTCGTCCAGTACGGAGTTGAGGTTCTCAATCCACAAAGCATCGACCGGACCATCTAAAACCATCCAAATATGTTCGCTCTTCTTTATTTTGGACGTCTTGCGCCACAAAGTGGAAAATATTCCATCCGTCCAGTCGTTTGTAGCCACGTCCAACTTGCCGAACATCTGTGCCGAAGTAATGGCTTTAGGATTCATCCGCACTTCCCGATGGGGCTCAAAGCATTGCGACATTGCCTATCGGTTGCGAATGCGGGAGTTAGAAAAGGCTGTTCATCAGCAAAGTGTGGTAAGTAGCTCGGTTTTTGCATTCAAAGACCTATTTAACGATGTGTCTTTAATGTGTTAAGATGGTATACCGCGATATTTCCAGGGTCCCACTGCTGCTAGTATAGCATGGAGTCAATCTCCTACTGTTGTAGTGCTTTGGAACATACAGAACTAAACAGTACGATGAGATAGCTCACAACAGAAGTGAAAAAGCCGGTGCACCGATGCAAAGGTGCGTGTACACTTAATAGAACAATATAAAGTAATGTTGGTTTAAAAATCAGTGGATACAACAGACTTTCCGGCATAAGCCGCTGTGCGCCAACATGAAAAGCAATCTGAATCCCAGCGATTTGCGCCTATTTGCATGTTTCACAAGCCAGAGCCCAAGTAAAATGTCAAGTGTACAAGAAGGCGGATCCGAGTGGTCTTACTTCCATTCACGATGAATTACGTTGACAAAAGAACGATGTGTGCCCAGTCCAACTTTTACCTGCTGGTGTTGTGAATGGTAGCGCTATTTGCGCCGACTCAGAGTGTTTCGGCTCAGCCAATGACAGTTGCCAGCTCCACCTACTTACTTGAATGTCAATGTAAGTGGAACAGTGGAGAAGGTACAGTCAACAGCTTTGATATTTTCGTATAGGGAGTATCTTGCAAAAGGATTCATCAGCATCCCGTATTTAATTTCTTCAATGCTTACCTCATAACATTTCGGTGTAGGTCAGGCTCAAGAGCATCTGTGTTTCTGTAATAATGACCAAAACTTTTAAGGTTATGATGTTCTAAGCTCATTCTACTGTGGGTGCAGAGTTTTCAAAGATCGTGTCATTATCTTCACAAGCACAACGACAAATCCACCTGACTACGACGTGTTCTAGTATTTTCGTACACCCATTCTCTGTGCTTCATAAAGAGTTTGTAGACATTCGCATTCTTCCTCCCAGGAAGATAAATCTCCCTGAATCGTCTGACGATTGTTATATATAGAACACATTAGTGACTGAAGACTTTCGGAACTGCTCTCTCCCAGCACTATACTCTACGACTGAGCGGGTTCGTCCTGATTTCGACTGGACAGATAATTATTGCCTGAACTGACATCGGAACCCGACGCATAGTGATGTAAGGTTTATACTTTGATAACTTGGATCCACACAACTGCAGGGCGGGGCCTTTAAATCGGCCGTGCCGTTGTCACTGAACATCATTTTTACGATATCGTTATGGATACATTAGTGTTTTCAGAATATATCAACACCGATAATTTTCAAGCTATTGTCAAGGTCACCGTTGCTGTCTTCCGCGTAATCTTTGAGAAAAATTCAAGATACTGCGCACGTGAAGATGGACGGTCCCGAGTGAAAGTCTAGCTCGCTTTAAATTATTTTGGCCGGAACTGTTTAACTGTTTCTCTTTTACACTGATCGTTTATTTAAGTGACACTCCTACGCAGTGTCCTATTATCCATTCCGACAAGTGTATTTTTGATAATGTAAGTTTAACTCATCCGTTGTCAATATTGTAAAGTACTGAAAATGTACCCATCTGGATACATATAACTTTATTCGACTTAAGTTGAAAAAATACTAAGGCAGAGCTCCGGGAGCATCGCTTGACACAGCAATCTGAAGTTCCTTCTTATGTATTGGAGTACCTGCCGTGTACCTGGATTAGGACACGAAATCTAGATTGAGGCCACGATTTGCTTTGAAGCGAAGCTCCGTCATTTCGATTACTGGGACTGCATCAGTGGTTGTTTTCTTAAGACCAAAGTGGAGAACTCGCCATAGTGGGGTTTTGGACCACCCACCGTATGTATGGATTGCAACGCGTAGCCTCCTGTTCAACTTTAAGTTACTTTGATGTAGATCCATGCCATTCCGTTCACGGAGACCACGTCCATAGTAGAGTTTTCAGTTACTCATTTTCAAAACTTCAATTTATGAACAACTTCATCTTTGTCGAAACTCTGCAGATAGAGATAACCGCAATTGGGGTAAATCCCTGATTATAATGGTGGACGGTTCACGTCTTGGTTACATGTTCCTTGAACACTCATTCGCCACTCTGGTTAGCAATCCATCGATTGGTTTGCAGTACTCGCTGAATGTGTTTGGACTGCCAAGGAGTTCCAATGTTGGCCAAGCCTTACTTCGAAGCAATCTCTTACCATTCCGGTGCTTTGTACTGTATTCTAAGCATAACTAATACCGGTACCAATAGCCTCCCTAGTATAGTCTGCTACCCTTCCCGTCCCTATTCGTAGACTACAGGCAAAGATAAATCAACTGAGACTTACACTGTAAGGTCTTCATTCATTGCAAATGTGATGCCAGTTGGCGAGCTGATTTCAAATTGTCACGATCCACTCTCACGCTGTCGCTCCTCAAGGCCGAATAGTTCCTGGCGCATTTTCACTCACCAATAAACGTAAGTTAAAGCAAGTTGCCCAAGCACGGATGCATGCCAAGCCTTGCCAGCTAACACGTTATATAAACCCCCAACGTTTGGCCTTCCGTCAGTGTAACAACTAACACTTGGTTAGCCAACACCGTCAACACCGGTCATGCATCACCAAGCTGTTACTGGCACGAGGTAATTGGACGGAAGTGGCTGATGCTGGGGTAGGAGTTGTCGTCATCTATCTGGACTTCCACCGTCTGGATCACCGCATCCTACTTCACAGGTTACAGAGCTACGGAATCGGTGATCCTGTTCTTGATTGGACTAGCGACTTGCTTCACCAACGGAAGTTTCAAGTGCGTGTTAGGGTATCACTCTCTAACCCGATTGAATTGGAATATGGTGTCCCAAAGGGCTCAGTTCTGAGATCGCGCCTATTCCTGTTGTTTATCAACGACATGGCATCAGTTATCTCCCCAAATTTCCTGCTTTTCACCGAGGACCTCAAGATATGGCGGGTGATTAACAACGAAGAAGATCACGATCTACTCCAACATAACCTAGATTGCATTTAGGAATGGTCAACGAGGAACCTGCTTCAGTTGAACATAGCTAAGTGCAAGGTGGTCCATCTGAGTCACCAGCCGGTGAGCGCTTACAAGCTTGGAGGCCACACCTTGCAGAAGGCCTCTCAGGAACGTGATCTGAGCGTATTGGTACAGGAAGATCTCGGATGCTAAAAACAAGCAGATAGTGTGTCAAGAACTGGCAGTCAACACTTTGGCCTTCTTCGCAGAGCCTTCGGTCTGTTTGAACCCTCAATCATTCCCCAAACGCTTAACGCCTACGTGCAATCGCACGTGCAATATGCTATCCAGGCGTGGCAGCCGTAGCAGAAACAGGAGCTCGTTGCTCTCGAGACTCCTTAAAGAAGGGTAAGCAAAAGAGTCAGGGACCTCTTTCATCTGCCCTATCAGCTAAGAGTGAAATCGCATAGAATGTACAGAAGTCGATATCGGCTTTTGCGGGGAGACCTCATAATGGTTTACCAGACACTGAAGAAACCAAACCATATTTGTCTTCCTATGTTGAAATTGAACCACAACACTAAACTGAGAGGTCATCCTCTGAAACTGACAATACAGCATAGCCAGCTTGAATGCCGTAGAAATTTCGTTTCCCTGTGCATGTGTTAGCCTTGGAACGCTCTTCCTAATTACGTCGTCTCTGCCCCCATCCCGGCGATATTAAAAAGACGAGTTGACGTTGTCTTGTCTCAGTTGCATTTCATTTTATAACTTGTTAGACAGGAGCTACAAAACGCAATCAAAAGGTGTCTTACCAAATTCCCAACCAATGGATTTATAGATTTACACTTTTAGTACGCGAACCTCTGTGCTGTTCAACGTTAGTCCATGGTAAGTCCACCAAAACGCTTTTCACTTTATCGTGCAATTTTCTTTTCGCAATAATTTCCACCCCAGGGGAATTGTTAAGCATTGCTTTTTTACCCGTAATACACCAATGTTCCAATGTTTATCATTGGCCGAATCGATGTCAGCAATGAGGCCATCCTCTTGGGTGGCGACACCTGTACAGTCATTAGCTGCTTTAACATTATAACTACAAAAGCCACCGTTAGCTTAGTGTATTAGGAGGCACTGACTATTACCACTACGGCCAATCATGCAAAGCTTAGCTGAGTTACTTAATGGAAATAGGACTATTGATGTGACTCTTTCTATCTGCTCTCCACTTTCGAAAGATACGTTAGGTGCGCTGTGCACCGGCAGTCAACCTCGTAAGTAAAACTGCATTTCAATAGATGAAGCAACAGTGCCCTACAGTGAGAACATTACTAACCTCTTGCTGGATAAGATTTTTCGGGTGATTGTTCATGTGAGGGGCCATTATGTATCATCATAATGTATGTGGTTTACACAGTGGACACCCCAAATCAGGTTGGAAAACGAGCGTCGTTGACACTACACAGTATGCCGGTGCCTTTCTCTGCTACGCGACCATCACCGGTCGCACGTGGGCTAAGAATACTGCTAGGGTCCCCCTGTCCCTACGCAGGCTAGAACCCGCGCTCTCGGGCTTGTAAACCTTAAAGCTGTGGCCAGCAACAGCGCACAAGTGCACGCACAAGTACTGCACTTGTGACAACACGCAACTGCAAGGTTTAAGCCCCAATATGAAAGCAGCAAGGCAAAATTATATATGCCTAGAGGACCCATTATGCTGAAGGGGCTGGAGTCTTCATAGACTCGAAAAACTGCCGCAACATTCAGTAGATGTGAAAGTATAGGGATAAATTAAAGGCTGTACTCGAGGTTTGTAGTGACTGGACAGTTAATCACCAGGCTTGAAAATCTGTTACATGGTCGACTGGAGGGTGAATTTGAAGTACTCATTGTGTGAGTGCATTTTGACGAGCCATCTGAATGTGGACCCTGATTCGCATTGATGTGAAGCTTGGTCAAACGAGCACTGAGACCGTAACTGATGAAGCAGATTGATGTTGGAGTTACCATCCCGAAGTTACTGTAAACCACTACCGGTTTTGAACGAGTGCATCAAAATTATCGTCCAATCGGTCATTAACCCTTGTGATAGGCGTTGCTATTCGTGATCCGGCGGCCAAAGTGGTACTCGTTTTGGGTAACATCCTAATATGCCCGGTTCGATGCCTGCTATCTCTACCTGATGGAATCAAATGAGCTTGAAACGCGCAGTGTTGTGCAGTGGTTTCAAACAGGCAGCACACAATATCTATCTGCTGGATAATCACATTGTATTCCCAAGTTCAGTCAACAATGTGTTGATGGGAAGTAAACTGCTATGATAGGATTTGAATATCCCACAGGACAAACTCACAGTAGACACTCAAGCGATACTTATCAAGTTTGATTTCGCAGTTCGTGTATTTAAACAGACAGATAGAGTGGGGACACATGCGCCATGGCGGTGAAACGCTTATCTCGATGTGGTTGAACCAAAGCTAAGCGATTAACATTCTCCACTGTTCATTCATCCACCTATGAGCTTATAGCTGGCTACCCACCCTCAAACTGGTCGCATTTCGGCATTCCCAGTGACAGTGCGCTAATACGGTGTTTCTCCGGATGTTCGTCGGTTATGTCAATGTCGTTCAAGTACGATCAAAAGAGCAGAAAAACATTTACAAATTCCATAAACACAGCTAAACACGCCCACATGCACACTTAGATAGATTCATATATCAACATATGCGCCAATCCCATTGCTCCATTGTACATTAACTGGTCACATTTTGTACTCTAAACATGAGCATGCCTGTGCAGGCGTGCCTCGCTTAGTCGAGAATAACCATTTTATTTATTTAAAAGCTAAATCTGCTACACTATCCAAATAGCGTTTTCACTGATGAGACAAAACAAGACGAACTGCCAGTAGCTTCCTATGCTCGGCCGCTAACCACGCCGTTAGGAGAACTAAACACAAGTATGCTTATTCGGGGGTCTCGTGGAAAATCAGAACTAGTTGATTATTGTTATTATTATTATTATTATTTTAGTTACTGGAATGAAGTGATTTAAGGAAGATGGATTACCTTCAACAAAATCTGGATACAACAGGTTTTACCAGTTCCAGTCGGTCCGAGTACCATCATTCCGTGTCTGACGCGCTGTGTTTCGTACAACTGAATCACTTTCAACACCCAAGGCGGATGGTTGATGAGGTTAGCCTCAGCTATGTGATGAACAATAGCCGACTCCAACGCAGGGTATCCGCCTCTGTCTAATGTTATTCCTATTAAAGGGATTGGAGAGCAAGTGATTCAGAATTGAGCAACAAGTGTTTGGCAATCTAACAAATGTGAACTACATACACTGGGAACCAAGACCACTTATACGGTGAAAAGATATAACAGCTGCATATAAATATGGCGGTTACACCGAAATGAACAATTTTTGCACAGTCAGTTCACCATATTGAAAACATGGGTTGATTCATTAAGAGAATACATACGAGGGAATAGATCGTTCAGAAGAGACATGAACAGTGATTCATCTGCTCCGACAAGTTTGCTCAGATTCATGTCACGTAGTACACGCATAACTGTGACGAACTCAGTATCGTTCACGTTTGTTCTTTTGACCGCCCCCAATGTGCGAAGGACGGAGAGTATGTTCCGCAGCCCAAAGTCGTAGTGAACCTGGAAGTGGGCAATAAAAGCTAACCAACGCAAAGAATGCACATCATAGTAATGACTGATAATGGGGAAAAATAAACAGCTCATTTCCATAAATGAATTGATATATGTGAACAGCTGTGCTAAAAGCTATGGATCTGGTTGGATGAAACACATGGTTTGCTCTCATACGCTCTTGAAATATATGCGCGAGAGGAAACCAGACGTCATCTAACTTGTACTCATTTTCTATGCATTTACATCTCGCAGCGTTATTCTTTAGATTAGAAACTTGATCAACCACTCGGTTACAAACGTTCGGGGATGCTGGGTGGTTAGTGGTCATGTCTTGGAATCTCACACCTTAGTCACGCAACGGGATACATTTCGATGATTACACATTGAACAATGGCGTGGGGTGGGTTACTTGGCTTCGTGGCTGGGAAGCCCCAGGACAATGTCATTCAGGTAACCCAGCTTCTCTTATTATCAGCGACTTGATGTCTCACGATGGGAAGATATGCGAGCGAAGCCACTGTGGTGCAACGCAGGGCGATGAAAAGCCAAGATGAGTTTTTATTTCTCAATTTGTTGCGAACACATCGAATGCATATGTAACTGAAAGATACCTTGATTTCATGCGTACATTGCGCCCTGTCTACAAATACGCTCAGAGTAGAAAGAAGACTAACCAGCCAAACAGCATCTCAGTCGGACAGGAGGCTGTTTCTGTGGACCGTACAAACTCAAAAGCCTTATCCCATCCATATTCATGGGACCTATGTCCATTTATAGTTAAATACTTGCCCTTTTATGAAAGTAGATATTACGAGCTATTTACGAGATATTACACTACTACCGAATTTAACAGTCTGACTCAATGATTCTCGATTACTAAAGTCCATACTTCTTTTTGGAATTCCTTATATTAGCATGCTTAATAGCCGGCGCGGAGCGATTTACTTATTTCCTTGAATAGTTGAAGGCTGATGAATCTGGTGTGAGATGATGGAGGCTCCTCAAATTTAACTAACAAGACTTCCTGTCTCCGTTCAGCGCACACTTCTGCATACTTGGGTGATCAAACAAAGCGACCTAAAGTGGTTTACTCTGAATGAGTCAAAAGCAACCTTATATTTTAAAATAAGGTATTTTAGCAACTTCACCCTCCATAGATAACTCAGATTTGGTAGCTCGAGGAAAGCCTCTAATTTCGCAAATCTTGCACATCCTGAGTGTACTGATTGATTCAAGCGACTTGGTGGCATTACTTTCCTACATACAAATTATATAGGGTGTCTTTATGGATCTCGAAGATTCCAGAGCTTGAACAGATTCGTAAGCGATTTCCATGAACTCGTTGAAGTAGACTCGGCGCCAACAAGTTAGAGTTACACTGGGGAAGGGTCCCAATTAGGTTTAGCCACTGGTGAACCATCCTGATTTAGAACACAGGTAAGAAGTCAAACGCGTTTGTGGCCTGTTGTTTGCAGTGTTTCTAGCGATGGTAAACAGACCACATCAAATGATATACCTGGCAGAAAAGCTTACTCATGTGCTCACAAGCAAAGATGCAACCACACTCGCCGAAGTCTACAACAACATGTGACGACTGTACCTCTTTCCGGCAATGAAATGTTGTACTGGGTAAAGTGTCGGTGCCAGCAGACCCGAAGTCTTGATGTTGAGAGGCACAGCAGCAATCAACACTGTAACCAGGGCACAAGACAACCTACATTCCAATGAGGTGCACAATGTCCCCAACTAACGAAAAGTCAAAAGACTGTTCGTTCGACGATCTCCGCGTCACAATAGGCTCAGGGTTACTGGTGATATGCTTTGTTTCAACACCGGGTGTGTGAGCCTGACATCCCAGTGCGTCGTCCATTTGGGACTGCACAGCGGAGGCTTCAATAAATGAAAGGAGATTATGTGGCGCAAGTAGAAACACAGCTTCCGTGGTTAGTTCAGCAAGTACTAAATGCATGGTGAAACCACGATCGTGTATGTGGAGCGCGGTTTCTCACCACTAGCGAACGTTGCGCTTGTATTAGGAGTTACTTGACTTATGAGAAGCTGAAATCATGTGAGTTCTCTACTGGTTCTCGAATGGAGATTATGATCGGAAATCCTAACAGCAAAATAGTGAAGCTGAAAACACACATATACACACAATACACGTTAGCAAGAGGTGGGAAACACCTCAGCTACTGTGCCGCAATACCTAAAAGAAAAAAGGGAATAAAATGCAACAGATGCAAGCCAATTGAACTAACGGTAACGGATGGGCATCGTTCCAGTAATAGCGCATCATGAATTTTGGATCCCCTTTGGATAACAGATTAGTAACATTATTACATTCCTAATACAAGCACGCCGTTCGTTTCAGCCCGGTTCGTTGATTAAATTGTTACGAACCGTAGGCATCAAGTGGTATCTGATAGCTCACCAAAAACTGCACTGCAGTATTCCACGGTTCCATGAATACATTGCAATTGGACACGCTTTCCAAATTAACGGACATGCCGATTGCAGAGAAGCAGTAGGAGAAGTTGAATGACATAAAGTGGAGTTCAGCATATCAGGACTCAGTCAGACAGCAAGCACAAGCCACGAATAGCGCTATATCACGTGTAGTTACTTGGCAACGTCGGTGGGTATTGTCCACCGTAGCCCAGTGGTCTACACCAAGGACTGGCAACAGTCGGATTGAGTGTTCTAGCCCCACAGGAGCCAGATAGAATACGCACTGCTGACGATTCCCGAAAGGATGAAACCGACATACTTTTCGTAATGCACTGTCTCAGATGGCGTCGACGTGCACCACAGTTTCTCTCTGATAACTTCTGCCAAAACTTTCCATGGATCACTGGGCATAAGCGAACTTTCATTTAGCAAGCGACAGTTAGTTAAGAAACAAGTTTTACATGCCCCTTTATTAGTTATAAACCCATGAACCCATTTAATGTATGGTAAGGGATATGGATAAGCCTTGGGCACAAATCGAATATGTCTGCTTTTGTGTCTAATATGGCTGATTATGTCAAATTGAACAATGAGCAATGACTTATCACGGGATAAAAGCAAGTGCTTGACACGTCCAGTAGGATGGTCGGGGTGAATATGATGAAATCAAAATATATCTGAGTCATCTACCGAATGTCTGCCTAGATGAATACTTCGATGAATTACATCAGTGTAAAATTTAAAAAAGAATCGAGCGTAAACGTTCAGAAAGACACTGGAGTGCAGTGATCGTTGATGGAAGGCGTGAGGAAAGTAAAATATGGTCGCTCACTTGGGTCCATTTGGTACAAAAATCCTGTTGAAAAGCATGCTTGGCGTAATCCACAATAGCTGCGTTTAGGTAACAAAATGCTGGGAGCTAAGAGCAACATCCAACAGTTTTTTTGGAAATATCCAAAGGAGGAGAGGATACAACTGAGTCTGAGAGTGCGCTCCAGGGCTGGCAAACCCGAAGGGAAAAGTAATTCCGTCGACACTCTAGACGGCTATATTATTCCTAAAATTTTAAGCAGTTACCCCTGAGCTGCGTGTTGTGGCTAAGTTTCAGCAATGGCAGTATACGTCGTTGAGGTCACACAGTATCTGATACGCTAATATGAGATCACCGCGCAGCCTTCGATAGCGTCCACTGAAAATTCCCAGCAATCTCAGCATTCGGTGGTAAGAGTGATAGCGAAGGCCCTTTACATTCTTTGTTGCTCTTCGTTTTGGC